TACATGGGCAGAGACCATAGAGTGTGTGAAGTGGGAGAAAGTCTAGAAAATTTGCCTTGTGTTCAGTTAGATTGCGAATGCCTTTGAATGCTTCTGTGTTTGACTCTTGAACAGTGCAGTCGGGGGTGCCAGACCTCTGTCAACTGAAATAAAAACACACATTGTGCGAGCTGTGAGTTTCAGTTTTATTTGGGAGACAGTCTCAGATAGTTCTGAGTAATTTCTTAGAAGAGGAAGTAGATAGGGGAGGTCAGTAGATACATAATTTTGCAAAGAGGTATGTGCACTTATGCACACATCTCTGTAGAAGTTTACTCCTAGTCACAAGGAACACGTATCTCAGTTAATGATTTTAGTGCTTTTCTAAATATGGGATGATGTAAGAGTCCAGGTTCATAAATGGTTTCTCCTGAAATATTTCTAACTATCTAAAGGCCTGTTTTCCCAGAGGACAGAGTGCTTCATTCCTGCCCTTCACCCTGATTTCCATTCACATGTATTGTAGGTTAGCAACTGCATTGGCTAAAGACTTGATTCTTGTAGAACTGGATGGTAGGCACCATTCTTTACACAGTCAAAAATCTACATGTAAGACAGTCAGCCCTCCATGTCTGCAGTTCCATATCTCCAAATTAAGTCAACAGCAGATCATGTAATACTGTAGTGTTTATTATTGAAAAGGAATCTGTGTGTAAGTGGGCCTGTGTAGTTCAAATCCATGTTGTTCATGGATCAAATTTATGTGCAACTTGAGCTTTACTTGTAGGTGGTAAGGAACTATTGAAAAAATTTGATGATGATGTAATTTGATTCTTTTATCAGTAGCTTGGTATGTCTGTCAGTGTAAGATTATGAGTAGGCAGAAAGTGGAGCTTAGCTTGGGACATCAATTAGAATTAAGACATTTGTACAATTAGAGTTTAAATTAGAATGACAGTGAAGAAAGAAGAGGAAGTTGGTGCAAGAGATATTTTAGAGGTAAACTCAATAAGCCTTGGCCTCTTAAGTATAACATTACTCATTTTAAAGTGGTAATTCCATTCCTAATGAAGAGATGGTACTAGCAAAAAGGAATGTTTTCTTATCTTTGCAGTTAGTTGAATTGGTTTGTTTTTCACAGAAAATAAATAATGAAATAAAGTTAATTGGATATCATCTTGATAATAAAAATGTAGTTGTGATTGATGATATATTTTGGAACTTTAGTTTATGTAAGAATTAATAGTAGGTTAGAGTTATGTCCAAAAAGAGAACAAGATATTAATTCTGACTTTATTTTTCTGTAGTGGTTTATGTAGGTCTTTTATATTTTCTTTCCATTTGTTAATTCAGGCACAGGAAAGACTGGACAATAGCACACTCCAAGTGTTACTTTAGATTTTAGGAATTAGAGTACAATACATTGATGTACTTTTTAACACAGTTACAAAAAACTGAGTTGAAATACTGAAAATGAAGGCTCTTTTTATTATCTAGTAAGCTATCCTTATCACAGTACATATTTGACTGTCTTCTTTGGTTTTAGCTGACAGCAGAACTAATACCATTATTAACATTGTTTGATGTTGCTAATTTTTTACAGTTTTAGGAGATAGAATATGATCATGATTTCTTCAGTTATCTTTCCTTGATGCATTATCTGTAAATCAAGTAGATTACTTACATCACTGGTGATAGTTCTCTTAAGTAGGTTGTTGACTTTATGTAACATCATTGGATGTTTGATATATATATAGGCTTTCATTCTGGAAGCCCATTTGGATTGTTTCAAAATCCTATCAATTCTGATTTAAAGATAGCAGAGTAAAAACATTTGTGCCCTCTTCTATCCAAAATTACCCTGAAACAGCAAGGAAAATGAGAGACAGAGATGTATAGTTGACCTTTGAACAACACAAGTTTGAACTGCTACATGTGGATTTTTTTCAGTAGTAAATACTAGAGTATTATATGACCCCTGGATAGTTGAATCCATAGATACAAACCACATATATGAAAAAAACACAGATAAAAAGGAACTACATATGTATATGGAGGGCCAACTATAGGTTATATGCAGATTTTTAGCTGCATAGAATGTTGGTGTCCCTAATCCCTGCATTGTTCAAGGGTCAGTTATAATTACATTTTCGATAGGACTAGAGTCCTGTATCCCAAATTGAAATATTTGAGAACTGATAGTCAAATGTAAGCAGGAAGAGATTAAGAGCATTCTGACAGAAAGAGATCTCAGGTAGAACTGACAGAGCAATGAAAGATAGATCTGTTTACAGTGGTGTCAGGGTGCCTAGAAAAGCAGTAGGAGAAGCTTCCTTGGATTGTTTGGCAACATCTAGCAGGAAAGGAAGAACAAATGAGAAAGCACACAGATACATGATCTTTGCAGGAAGCACTGTTTTGATGAGGCAAGGAATAATGGCTAAACGTCTTTCTCTTCCTTGTTCTCACATACATTGTCTCTCTCTCACACGCACATGCACAGAACACCCTGTGTCATAAAGAGCTTTCTTGTAGGCTAGAGAAACTACCTTCTAGTCCAGAACACAGCCTTAATTCTTCCTCCTACAATGCTCTTGCAAGTAATTGTCCTGGGTGAAGTGCATGTCATTCAAAGATAAATAATGATAAAAAGAAAATGAGTACAGTATGTACACAAAAGTGTTACAGAAAGAAAAGCAAAAGGAAATGGAAAAACGAGTGACGAAAACCCGTGAGAAAACTGTGGTGGCGTAACAAATTTAAGGAGACAACCACTTCTTTAAGGGCTTCCCTGGTAACTCAGCTGGTAAAGAATCTGCTTACAATGGCAGAGACCTGGGTTTGATCCCTGGGTTGGAAAGATACCCTGGAGGAGGGCATGGCAACCCACTCCAGTATTCTTACCTGGAGAACCCCATGGGCAGAGGAGCCTGGCAGGCTATAGTCCAGGGGGTTGCAAAGAGTTGGACACAACTGAGTGACTAAGCCCAACACAGCCACTTCTTTAAAATAATAGAGAAAGCTAACTGGCTAGGGAGAAATAGTAAGATAGTGGTAAATAATGAGTCACACTTTGGCAGAACTCAAGAAAGAAAAGAAAGAAAAATATAATCAGGAATAAAAAGCCACATAGAAAACAGAAAGGAGAATTAATGTTGCTGAAAACTCAGTAAGGGATATGACGACAGGCTTTTGAAAGTTGAGCAAAGTGAAATGGAAATGAAAGGAGATGAGACAAATGCTTAATTGTAGTTCTGGAAATAGAAATTCAACATTAGAACAGAATAGTAGTCAAAACACATAAGAAAACATGTTGTAGAGAAAGAAATCTTGATTCTACAGAATCAAGGGCACATAATGGAGAGGCACATAATGGAAGGGCACATAATGAAGAAAAACTGATAACAATCATTAACATCATTACATGACCTAGTTTTTAAAAAATTGTATTTCAAAACTAAGGAATGTGTTCTTTGCTCATCCGTTAAAAAGATCATCTTCCCTATAGTGCCAGGGAAGGATCACATATTATGAAGGGAGTATTTAGCATTGCAGGACAGTGGTACAAATCCTGTAAGTCATCAGAGGAAAGAGGGTGTGACCTCAAAGCCAAACTATTAGTTGACACCTGTTTTTGAACAATGCAAGAACTCAAGGTAAATAATGTCCATATTCTAAGGAGAAGATGAATATCAGCTATCTAGTAGATGAACAGAGATGATACAGTGAAAGGAATGGCAGGGGAACATAGTAGGAATAAGATTTTAAAAGCTGAGAGATTTGTATTACAGAAAAAATGAACTAATAAAAGTCAGGATTAAAAGGAGAGATATAGAAGGTGTTAATAGAATTCCTCTTATTTTTTAGCTGGAGAACTAAAGACAGTTTATACATGAAGTAATAGAGGTATTAATATATAGTTAAAGGAATAAAGATAAACATTTGAAGAACCAAATGTAGTGTGTGTGACCAAAATGAAACAGTGAAGAGGAGGTAAGAAGAAGTAGAACTGTATTAAATTACTTGTTCTAAAGGAATAGTCAGTTGGGGCCAAAGATGAAGAGAAACTTTAAGGAATTCCCTGGTGACATAGGGGACATGGGTTCAGTCCCTGATCCAAGAAGATTCCTCATGCCGTGGAGCAGCTAAGCCTGTGTACCACAACGGCGACCTCGCATTCTGGAGCCTGCAAGCCACAACTCATGAGCCCCTGTGCCACAAGCACTGAAGCCTGCACACCCTAGAGTCAGCAGGCGCAACTACCGAGCCCAGAGAGCCTGTCCTGCACAACGAGAGAAGCCACTGCACGTGAGAAGCCCACACATCGCAGCTAGAGAGTAACCCCAGCTCTCTGCAACTAGAGAAAGCCCGCGTGCAGCGGGAAGACCCAGTGCAGTCAAAAATAAGTAGACAAAGCAGTGTGTACATGTTAAAAAAGAACACGATTTTTCATCATGACTTTTTTTACACTTGCCAAAAACTGAAAATGTATTTGGGATATATATAAAAACTGACCACATCCTACATCACATTAGACAACAGAGCTGTTACACAGGTGATGTTCCTTGACCAAAAGTTTATTTTTTCTTTGGCAGTGGTTCTTAGTATGTGCATCAGCATCACCTGAGAATGCATGAGAATTGCAAACTCAGAGGCCTCACCCCAGTTCTACTGAATCAGAAACCCTAGGGGAAAATCCTTCCCATCTCTGTTGGTCAGTTTTTATAGATATCCCACTTACTTTTTGCAGTTGTAAAGAATGCCATGATAAACATTTTTGTTCTTCCAGGTTTGGTCTTATATCTGATGATTTCTTTAGGATAGGACATTACCAAATCAAAGAATGTTCTGTTGAACTTTAGGTAACTTTTTCATGGTTAATAAAGGTGAAAAATTAAATATAGGCTTTTTTTTGTCTCTTCAGAAATATTGTTCACAGAAAACAAGATTACCTTTTTACCCCAAAAGATGAAACCAACTGGGTTACTTTCAAAAGAAAACCAAGTGAGCACTGCAGACTGATGAGTAGAATCAGTAAGAACGTGATTTTGGTGCTTTTAACTTTGACAAGTTCTGCATTTCTGCTATTTCAGTTGTACTACTACAAGCACTATTTGTCAACGAAGGTAACTTTTTCCCCCTGCTGTCTCATTATTAAACTTCATTTTAGCTGTTTATCTTCCTAACACACTTTCCTTTTGCAGTACATAAAGGTAATGAGTTTTTAAAATCCTTGCAGAAATATTTCTTTGAAATTCTCCTTTTCATGGGTGTGGTAAGAAGCAATTCCGAATTGCAGTTAAAGATTATTATGATAACACACTAAAAGTCAGAGGTGCAAAGTTTCAGTGATGTTGAAATTTTCTGATAGAATTATGTGAAAATTGTTATTTTTCCAAACATATCATCACTCTTTGGAAAGAGTTCAATGATAAATAATTTTGATAAAATGTTAGAGTTAGTTTATTTTGGTACAAAGTCGATTTTAATATAGTGCCTAACAGGGAAGTGTAGTGTTATAACTTACCTTTATTATAAACCTTTAGGCATAAAGACAAAGAGACAATGATTTAGAATCTAGTAGCTTCTGAAGATCTTATAAATATACTAATTCGAAAGAGATAACAAAGCATTTACTATTATTTGATGGAAATTAATAGATTCTGAGATGTTGACCATATATGCCTGTTTAATTAATTATAGCAGTCTCAGTGCTGTCCATCTTGGGTAGTTATATAATTGTAGACTTCTTAGCTCATGACTGTGTGTATTTAGATTATCCTTTTTAATGATTATTAGCCAGTTATATAGGTTGAACCTCATACCTCCCCTAAATGTAATGTTAAGTGCTGGGCTTTGCATTTACTAACTTTTATTTTTGTTCTCTTCCTAGAATGGATCTGGTTTATCAAAATACAAAGGAAGCCAAATTGGATTTGACAGAACACAGTGGGTATGTATGACAGTCGAGAAATTCCTCAATTGCCAAGTTCATTTAGTTCATTCACTTATATACTTAATAAGTATTTGTTGAATTATGACAGTTTTAATAGCTAGCTTGGTAGGAAGTGGGAGTAGGTGATAGAGGGCAAGGGGAAGACACTGTGCCAAGTGCTTTATATGGAGTATCACGTTTCGTCCTTATGGGAACTTGATGATGTTAATACATGTTTGTCCTCAGTTCACTTAAAAAGGTTAAGGTTGGTTGGCTAATAAGTGACTGATTTCAGATTCTAACTGCTTGCTTCCAAAATCCTCATTCATTGAGTTGTGGTGCTTCCCCAAATGAATAAATATGTGAAAAGCAGAATTGAACCAAGAAAATATAAAAAATAAAAAATATTTGCAAAACGTGTGTCTGACAAAAGATTGATATCAAGGATAAATAAAGAACTACTGCAAGTCAGTAATAGATTTTTTTTGTTCAAATTCTATCAAATTGAACAAGTGTCCTATTCCTGGTTTGCTGAGAGGTTTTTATCCTGAAATAGGAATTGAATTTTGTCAAATTTTTTTGTGTTATAATTCTCATAGAGGTTTCCTCCCTTTATTCTATTAATATGATTGATTAATTTTCAAATGCTGCCTTTCATTCCTGGGATAAACTATACTTGGTCATAATATTTTCTTTTTTTTTCTTCCTTTTGTTTTAACTACAGGAATTAATTTTTTAGTATCCTGCTAAATGTCACTGTATCTGTGTTCATGAGGGACAGTGGTATATACTTTTCTTTCTGTAATGTCTTTGTCAGGTTTTTTAGGAATACACTGACCTCAAAATGAGTTCAGAGTATTTCCTCCTGCTCAGTTCTGAAGAGTTTTTGTATAATTGACATTATTTCTTCCTTAAATCTTTGATAGAATTCGCCAGTGAACCGTCTTAGTCTAGAGTTTTTTCTTGTTTTGATGGCAAGACTTGTTTTTATACAATAAATTCAATTTTGTTAATAGTTATAAGGCAAATCAGATTTCCTGTTTCATCTTCTGGTAGTTTTGTTAATTGTGTTTTTAAAGGATTTATCCATTTCCTCTAAGTTATTGAATTTTGGGGCATAGCATTGTTTATTCTAACTTTTTACTTAGTTGTCTCTCCCACTAAGAGATAATAAATTCCTCTGGAGCAGAGATTATTATATTCTTGGTATTTGCATAATACCCTGCAGTAAAAACAAAGGATAAGAGACTGATTCATACATTTGTCTCACTTTTTTATCTTTATAATTCCTGATATTCTAATCTGTTTATTATCTTGTATATGTTTTTATAAGTTTCTTCAGATTTTTGTGAGTAATCATTTATCCTTAATTCCATGAAACATCTTTTTTGATGGGCATACATCCTTTTGAAGTCATTATTCCTTTCATTAACGTAGGCTTTTAAGCAACAATGTATGCTATTTATTCTGTTTATCTTGGCTACTCTTAGATACTGTTTACTCCTAATTGTGATTATTCGGTTTCCATTCTGATTTCAAAACTTATTTTTTGCAGTAGAATGTTCTGCTTACTGCTCAGCGGAATTGTATTTTAAAATATCAGTATTACAGTATTATTAGAAAGTCAAACTGTATACAGGAATGGTCAAGCAGACAGTGTATTTTAGTTTGTCTTTTTCTTGGCAAGATTATTAAGCAGTATTTCAAATATGAAGAAAAGTTCCACATACAGTTTATTTTTGGTTTTGAAAATGTTGACATGACTAACTTATTTAAAATTGAAAGACCTGGTATTTCTTCTCCAACTTTTGCTTGAAAAGATTTAGCTACTACGAAGGGAATAATTTGTAAGTCCAGAGTTCTCATCTCAGATACTGCTTCCTCTGTGAAGATTTTGATATCCTTTTGATATACAGTTAATTAGTTGATTACTGTTCTGTACTTACCTTATATTGTAAATATTTGTACATCATCCTCAGTAGACTGTGCACTTCTTGAGAGCAGGTATGGTGTATTATTTATTTGTGGGTTTTTTAATGATAGCAAAATAGTAAGCCTGGTATCTATTGAATAAGCACTCTATATATATTCTTATAAAATTAATGAATAAAATTTAATGAGCTAGATTGTTGTATTGGTTTAGAAGAATTAAGGGAATTCTTTTCCTCTCAAACAGCGTGCAGTTAAAAAATTTATTATGCTAACATCCAGTCAAAATGTACCCGTGTTCCTTATTGATCCTTTGATTCTGGAATTGATTAATAAAAACTTTGAACAAGTCAAGAATACTTCTCATGCCTCCTCCACTTCAGAATGCAAGTTTTTCTGTGTTCCAAGAGATTTTACTACATTTGCACTACAGTATCAACTATGGAAGAATGAGGTAAGATGATTTGCTTTTAGATAATGGAATGTGTCTTTTGTAAAACAATTTAAGATTAAACCAATTTAAACTGTAAAATATTTAAAATTTTTTATAAAGACTTATAAATTATATCAGGAATATTTTCAGCTATAAATAACAAAACACAAGGCTCCTCTGTCTGTGAGATTTCCCAGGCAAGAATACTAGAGTAGGTTGCCATTTCCTTCTCCAGGGAATCTTACTGACCCCAGTTATTGAACCCACATCTGCATTGGCAGGTGATTCTTTGCCACTCAGCCACCTGGGAAGCCCACAGCTGGAAGTAGATTGGTGCAGTACAGCCCTGAGTTAGGCCTTTGCTGTGTTTGGTCAGAGCAACTTCTTTGTTCTTAACTTTCCTCTGTCATGATTATGAAAAGGCAAGCCGTTTCATAGTTCTTCCTGTTTTGTCTATCTCCGCACACTTGAGGTCTGATTTCTCTTCAAGTTCTGCCTGGCCTTTTAAATTTTTCCTAAATTTACCAATTTATAATGCTTTTATTTCATCCTGTACAGTAGATTCCTTCTCTGAATTGGCCACTCTTACACTCAGTCAGTACTTTCCACCTCTTAGGTTTATGAAGAAAGGAAATCCTACAGTAGTTAATTCTAATATAAGGAGAACCAAGGTGAAATTGTATTAGACAGGGTAAGTTACATTAATTGCTGCTAAAAACAACCCTAAAATCTCATTGACTTAGTGCAAAAAAGGAATAATTGTCTCTAGACAAAATCCAGTGTGAATATTCTTGGTCAAGGGTATTCCTGGATGACTTTCCTATAAGCAGTGCCTCAGGATGCAGGCTGTTTCATTTGTGTGGCTTCCCTATCCCATAGTTCTTTGTTTCCCTACATGCAGATAAAAGAGAGAAAGCAAAGATCTTATGGGACATTGTAAAGCCAGGCCAAGAAGTGGTATCTGATGCTTCCATCCACATTCATTTGACCAAAACACAATTTCTATATCCAGAAAGGGGAAAGCAATTGTAATTGATACTGGTTAGCATTCTGTACCAGAATGATCACTTTCTAGATATAGTTCCAACCTTTAATAACTTTAATGCCTAGTATTACCACTTAGAACTTTATTTTCCTTAACTGTAGATTAGGTGTAATATCTTCTTTGTTGACCTCACATAGTTTCTGTGGACATCAGATGAGATAATTAATGTGAATAAGCTTCATAGACATTATATAAATATAGACTTAAAGAGGTGGTGGTGTAGAGTAGAAAGAACTTTGTATTTGGTTACATAAGACCTAAATGCTGGCAGTAGTTTTGCCTCTTATTAATTTTGTCTCTTTGGACTTCTGTGAGTCTTTTTCTTTATCTACAATATCTATGCTACTTATTCTTTAAGATAGATGTCATGAATTCAAACAGTGAGTGAAAGTCACTCAGTTGTGTCTGACTCTTTGTGACTCCATGGAATTCTCCAGGCCAGAATACTGAGTGGGTAGCCTTTCTCTTCTCCAAGGGATCTTCCCAACCCAGTGATCAAACCCAGATCAAACCTGCATTGCAGGTGGATTCTTTACCACCTGAGCCAGAAGGAAAGCCTAGGAATACTGGAGTGGGTAGCCTTTCCCTTCAGGGGAAGTTCCTGACCCAGGAATCGAACCGGGGTCTCCTGCATTGCATGCGGATTCTTTACCAACTGAGCTATCAGGGAAGCCATAGATGTTATATGTAAATGCAATAATGTTTATAGAAGTTATTTAGAAACTGTGCATTTCTGTTTAAATGTGAGGTGTTCTTAATAATTAATACTGTTTAACCATCTGTAGCACTGATTGTTAGGATTAAAAATCTACCCTGTAGGTTAATCTTTTTATGTGAGACTTATTTATGCTATAACTAATAACTGTTGGAAATGTACTATGCTTTATAGTATATCTTAGTTTGTTTTCTAATGATGTATATTATGATAGACTTCTATTTTAGTAACAGTTTAAGGCATTGGGATATAACTATGAGATGAGAAACCCTGCTCTTATGAAGCACTTTTGAAGATTATTAGAAGTTAAATTGAGAATCACAGGTTTAATTTTAAGTCCTTACATTAACATTTACTTTGGAGATGCTAACCAGAGAACACTATAATGAATGGACATTCTCATTCCAAGAGAGAAATTTGTATTGATTTTCATAAAGAGAGTCTTTGAACATGTCTTCCATGCTATTTGGTTTCTCTTTTTGATGCTTTCCTTAATTCTCCCACCACCACCTTTCCTTCCCCACCTTCATTTTTTAATCTTCAGGCAAAGAGCAGATTAGGATGGTAATACAGAAGACTTAATTCAGTGTAAGAGTAACTTTAATTTTGCTACTAGTATTTATTTTAAATATTCAAGCTTGATGTTTCTTTGGTTTTAGGAAGGCTGGTTTCGGATAGCTGAAAATATGGGATTTCAGTGCCTAAAGATAGAGAGCAAGGACCCCCGGCTGGATTGGATAGACTCACTTTCTGGAACTGAAATTCCCCTGCACTACATCTGCAAATTGGCCAGTCATGCCATCCACTTGGTGGTCTTTCATGAGAGGAGCGGCAACTATCTCTGGCATGGCCATCTACGGCTGAAAGGACACATCGACAGGAAGTTTATTCCTTTTCAAAAGTTACAGTTTGGTCGTTATCCTGGAGCTTTTGACAGGTAAATTCACGGTCTAAAGGGAATACGTGAAACCTGCCTTATCCAGTCATGAATTCTTATTCTCTTTTTCACATTTAGTAATAAAACCTAAACTGTATTTCATGCAAATTAGTTTTGAAATGTAAATATTCAATCAGAAGCAACTCACGTACATGTACCCAGGAAATATATATCAGAATGTTCATAGCAACATTGTTTTCAGTGCTCTAGACAAAATGTGGTGTGTTTACACAATGAAGAATCATGGGGCAGGGAAATGAAGAAGCTCTTAACTCATGCTCTATGTATCAACAGAGGTGAATCCTACAATGCTGAGTGACAGAAGTGAGGCATAAAAGAATACAAATCTTATTATATTTGTAAAGAGTTCAGACACAGGATAAAGTATGTTTGTGGATATATACTTACAAGTAAAAGTGTTCAGAATGTAAAAACTTCCAGTTATGAGATAAGTTCTTGGTATATAATATGCAGCATGATGACTATAGTTAATTAACACTGCTGTATTGTATATTTGACAGTTGCTAAAAGAGTAGATCTTTAAAAATGATACCTTATATGCTTGATCTTTAGCTATTTTGCTTATGTTGTATTGAATGTACTTTGAAGAGGCTGCCAGTTTTCTGAATTAAGTCCTTGTAATAAGTCTTAATTTTTGTTTTCAGGCCAGAGTTACAACAAATTACTGTTGATGGATTAGATGTTCTCATTCCAAAAGATCCAATGCACTTTCTAGAAGAAATACCACACTCTAGATTTATTGAGTGTAGGTATAAAGAAGCTCGAGCATTCTTTCAGGTTAGAGATAACCAAGTATTGTACTTTACAATTTAAAAGAAATGTGTTTATTTTTAGTATTTACCAGTTGAGGCGGGGGGAAGGTAAAGGGACTTATGGTAAAAAGAGACTTAGGTAAGAAAACATCTTTTCTGATTTGTCTGTTTCCTTCTAGATTGTTTAAATTTTTTAAGTAGATTAAACATTAACTTTAAGGAACAATTTCTTCCCCAGTTGAATGGTTTGATATTTACAGAGACCTTATTTTATTTGGATAGACATTGACAGGTTCAGCACTGGCCTCTGCTTTTAGTTAGGATTGCCCACAAACTTTATAAAGTTGGTACATTCTTTTCTTAAAGCAATCCAAGTAGGATCAAACCATGTAGAATACGTACTTCATAAAAAATACAGTTTTTCTCAGAGGGTTTGCACTGAATATGAATTTTTTGTGTTTATGAAGGTTTTTTCAAGATAAATGCTACACAAAGACCAAGTGCTTTTGAACTTTACTTTATTCTGTTGTTCTGACTTTCAGTTCAATAAATATTTATTAAAAGCCAGCTTCCTAGGAACTCTCCTGACCTTGGGGATATAAAGATGATTTTAAAGGACATGAATGTTCAGCTCTAGGAAATGACATGAAACAGAGATACAGTAAAAGCAATCAGATCTGTGGTGGGGTTTTGGTACTTAAGTTTTTCCACTTGCCCTTTATTTTTCTGAGCAAACTTTTATTTTCTGTGTTCCCTTCCAAGAAAGCTGTATACACAAGGACTGGAGGGGAGTGAGAAAAAGAAGTGCCAGCTGGAGCATCACCGGCCAGATGCCCAGAACCCAAAGATGCGAGGGTTTTTTTCTGATAGGTTGCGCTGGCACCCAAGGCCTAGACCTGACAGCCAGAGTGGGCCTTCCTAGCCCTGTTCCTTTAAATCTGTGGATTTGTGGCTGAAGCCGCATGAATGAGAAGCTGGAAGACTGCATGTGTAGCTGGGCCAGTGTCAGTGGGCAAGTGCTGCCCTTCATATCTCTACCACAGAGCATGAGGAAGCAGAAGAGAAGCAGATTGGTGCTTGAATTTCACCATCCTTTCACTGTTCCTGTCTCAATGAGTTTGTTCTGGTTGCCACCTCTGTCCTAGCAATTATCACAATTAATTGTGAATGTCTGTCCTGTCCTCCTATAAGATAATGTGAACTTTTTGATAGCAGGTATCTTATTTTACTCACCTTTGTGGCTCCAGCATCTAGCACAGTACCTGACACAAAGAAAAGATCCTATAGTAGTGGAAAAACGCATAAATAATAAGGTGCTCAGAATCAAATGGTTGTTTTTTTTTTCTCCCCAGAACTCTTACTGGGGCTGCTCCATTTACTTGGCAAGCATTTGCCCATACTCATTTTATTGATCTTTATGAGAAGGCACTGTAAAATGTAAAATGTTTCAAAATATTGAGAAATCATGAGAATCAGTTCAGTTTAGTCACTTAGTCATGTCCAACTCTTTGCGACCCCGTGGACTGCAGCACGACAGGCTTTCTTGTCAACTCCCGGAGCCTACTCAAACTCATGTGCATCACATTAGTGATGCCATCCAACCATCTAATTTGTCGTCCCCTTCTCCTACCGCCTTGAGTCTTTACCAGCATTATGGTCTTTTCAAATGAGTTGGTTCTTTGCATCAGGTGGCCACAGTATTGGAGTTTCAGCTTCAGCATCAGTCCTTCCAATGAATATTCAGGGTTGATTTCCTTTAGAATTGACTGGTTGGATCTCCTTGAAGTCCAAGGGACTCTCAAGAGTCTTCTCCAATTCTACAGTTCAAAAGGATCAATTCTTCAGTGCTCACCTTTCTTTATAGTCCAACTCTCACGTCCATACATGACTACTGGAAAAACCATAGCTTTGACTAGATGGACCTCTGTTGGTAAAGTGATGTCTCTGCTTTTTAATATGCTGTCTAGGTTGGTCATAGCTTTTCTTTCCAGGAGCAAGCGTCTTTTCATTTCATGGCTCCAGTCACCATCCTCAGTGCTTTTGAAGCCCAGAAAAATAAAGTCTCTTATTGTTTCCATTGTTTTCCCATCTATTCACCATGAAGTGATGGGACCAGATGCCATGATCTTACTTTTCTGAATGTTGAGCTTTAAGCCAACTTTTTCACTCTCCTCTTTCACTTTCATCAAGAGGCTCTTTAGTTCTTCACTTTCTGCCATAAGGGTGGTGTCATCTGCGTATCTGAGGTTATTGATATTTCTCCCAGCAATCTTGATTCCAGCTTGTCCTTCATCCAGCCCAGCATTTCTCATGATGTACTCTGCATATAAGTTAAATAAGCAGGGTGACAATATAGAGCCTTGAGGTACTCCTTTCCCAATTTGGAGCCAGTCTGTTTTCCATGTCCAGTTCTAACTGTTGTTTCTTGACCTCCATACAGATTTCTTAGGCGACAGGTAAGGTAGTCTGGTATTCCCATCTCTTTAAAATTTTCCACAGTTTATTGTGATCCACACAGTCGAAGGCTTTGGCATAGTCAATAAAGCAGAAATAGATGTTTTTTTCTGGAACTCTCTTGCTTTTTTGATGATCCAGTGGATGTTGGCAATTTGATCTCTGGTTCCTCTGCCTTTTCTAAATCCAGCTTGAACATCTGGACATTCACGGTTAATGTACTGTTGAATCCTGGCTTGGAGAATTTTGAGCATTGTTTTGCTAGCGTGTGAGATGAGTGCATTTTTGCAGTACTTTGAACATTCTTTGGCATTGCCTTTCTTTGGGATTGGAATGAAAACTGACCTTTTCCAGTGGTCCTGTGCCCACTGCTGAGTTTTTGAGTGCAGCACTTTCACAGTATCATCTTTTAGGATTTGAAATAGCTCAACTGGAATTCCGTCACCTCAACTAGCTGTGTTTGTAGTGATGCTTCCTAAGGGCCACTTGACTTCGCATTCCAGGATGTCTGGCTCTAGGTGAGTGATCACACCATTGTGGTTATCTGGGTCATGAAAATATTTTTTTGTATAGTTCTTCTGTGTATTCTTGCCACCTCTTCTTAATATCTTCTGCTTCTGTTAGGTCCATACCATTTCTGTCCTTTATTGTGTCCATCTTTGCATGAAGCGTTCCCTTGGTATCTCTGATTTTCTTGAAGAGATCTCTAGTATTTCCCATTCTCTTGTTTTCTTCTATTTATTTGCATGGATTGCTGAGGAAGGCTTTCTTTTCTCTCTGTGCTATTCTTTGGAACTCTGCATTCAAATGGGTATATCTTTCCTTTTCTCCTTTGCCTTTAGCTTCTCTTCTTTTCTCAGCTATTTGTAAGGCCTCCTCAGACAACCATTTTGCCTTTTTACATTTCTTTTTCTTGGGTCTTGATCACTGCCTCCTGTACAATGTCATGAACCTCCATCCATAGTTCTTTAGGCACTCTGTCTATCAGATCTAATCCCTTGAATCTATTTGTCACTTCCACTGTATAATCGTAAGGGATTTTATTTAGGTCACACCTGAATAGTCTAGTGGTTTTCCCTACTTTCTTCAATTTAAGTCTGAATTTGGCAATAAGGAGTTTGTGATCTGAGCTGCAGCCAGATCCTGGTCTTGTTTTTGCTGACTGTATAGAGCTTCTCCATCTTCAGCTGCCAAGAATATAATCAACCTTTTTTCGGTGTCGACCATCTGGTGATGTCCATGTGTAGAGTTTTCTCTTGTTTTGTTGGAAGAGGGTGTTTGCTGTGACCAGTGCATTCTCTTGGCAAAACTCTGTTAGCCTCTGCCCTGCTTCATTTTGTACTCCAAAGCCAAATTTGCCTGTTACTCCAGATATCTCTTGACTTGCTACTTTTGCATTCCAGTCCCCATGATGAAAAGGACATTTTTTGGGGTGTTAGTTCTAGAAGGTCTTGTAGGTCTTCGTAGAACCGTTCAGTTTCAACTTCTTCAGCATTACTGGTTGGGGCATAGACTTGGATTACTGTAATATTGAATGGTTTGCCTTGGAAACAAGCAGAGATCATTCAGTCATTTTTGAGATTGCACAAAAGTACTGCATTTCGACTCTTTGTTGACTATAATGGCTACTCCATTTCTTCTAAGGGATTCTTGCCTACAGTAGTAGATATAATGGTCATCTGAGTTAAATTCACCCATTCCAGTCCATTTTAGTTCCCTGATTCCTAAAATGTCGATGTTCACTCTTACCATCTCCTGTTTGACCACTTCCAGTTTGTCTTGATTCATAACCTAACATTTCAGGTTCCTATGCAATATTGTTCTTTACATCATCAGACTTTACTTCCATCACCCATCACATCCACAACTGGGTGGTGTTTTTGCTTTGGCTCTGTCTCATCATTCTTTCTGGAGTTATTTCTCCATTCTTCTTCAGTAGCATATTAGGCACCTACTGACCTGGAGAGTTCATCTTTCAGTATCATGAGAATAGTGTCATGTATTTTTAATTCCATATTTTCAATTCTGATTTTGAACTTTTAAGGGCAACCATCAGTCAGCATTTGAATCAGGAATATGAATGACAGATGCTCAGAGGGCTAGTCAGCTTATCATAGCTTCATACTTCTGGTGTTTAAAGTACAGCAAGGCAGGAATGCTATCAGCAGGTTTCTCTTCATAACAGGGTTAACTGGAACTTTATATTCATTCTTCATTGTGTTATTTGTGTCCTTCACTTACAACAAGACAGACTCTTGATTACTAATTTGTTTTCCCCGTCTGCTAATGTATTGTTATTACTGATGTAGACTGCCTAATGAGATTGATAGCTTTAAAAAAAAAACTTATCCTCGTAAATGCTTTATTCTTTGTCATTTCTTACGTTAGAACCAGGACGGTCAGTTTTCAAATTAAAGTGCACATACATAACTTTGAACACTTGATGGCGCCAAACAGTCTTAAATACAATGCCTGGTGTTTAAAAAAAAAATTAATGTAGTAATCTACTAGATCTCACAGAGCAGCCTTCTAACTTTCCTTTTTTAAAATAGTAATTTTTGGAAACATTTTCAAACCTTCAGAAAAGTTACACATGCAATACAAATGATTCCTTTTCCTTAACCTTGTGGGAGTTATTTGTTGCTGTCAACTGCACAACTTCAAATAATTTAATATTTCTTAAAAACAAGAACATTCTCCTAATATCTTAATACAAAAATCAGGAAATAACATAAAGATTATTATCACTTAATCCTCATTCAAGTTTTGCTAATTATCCTAATAATGACCATTATAATAAAAGGATCTAGTTTAGAATCACATGTTGTGTTTATTTTCTGTCTCTTTAGTTTCCTTAAATCTGGAACAGTTTCACAATTACTTTTTAACATTTATGACTTTGATACTTTGGAAGATTACATGCCAGATATTTTGTAAACTGTCCCTTGTTTGGGGTTTGTGTGGTTTTTCCTCATGTTACATTGATGTTGTACACCTTTAGTAAGAATAACACAGAAGTGATTCTGTGCTTTCGCTTTATCCTGTCAGGTGCTGCTTGATTTTGATTTGCTCCATGTGGATGCCCACATCACCTGCTCAGGCCCCGATACCCATGCCAGGATACTTTCTTGCTCTGCCTCATGTGATGGTTCTAGTTTAGAAGAGTCCAGGAAGGGAAGGAGAACAGAGGGAAGTGTCTCCTGACTTCCTTTATTTACTTAACTATTTTCTCAGTCTACCAAGAAGCATAGGATAATACATATTTTTCTGCACTTGGTTTTGTCTCAGCAGCAGCCGTCAAAAAATAATTGGTGAGCTCCAGTGTGTTGAGTTACAGTAAAAAAAAAAAAAGAAGCCAAAGAGGATATGGAAATATCTGGACCCTTAGTTCAAGAATATCTAGAAAGCTATATTCATATCCTCTTCTACTACACTGCTCTGAGACCTGGGGCAAATTTCTGAGCCTTAGTTTCTTCATCTATGAAATGAGTGGGCACCTTCTGTTATCTTGTTATTTTTAATCTATATTTTCGGAAAGATTTGTAGAAAGGTTGCCTGAATAGGAAAGATCAAATATGACATGGTATTTAAATTAGGATTCAGTCTTTTTTTAAACACATGATAATCCCAAGATTTACATGAGACATTTTAAATGAAAAAAAATTATGTTTGCTCAGTTGTGTCTGACTCTTTGTGACCCCATGGTCCATAGCCCGCCAGGCTTCTCTGTCCATGAGATTCTCCGTGCAAGAGTACTAGAATGGGTTGCTGTTCCCTTCTCCAGGAGATCTTCCCAGTCCAGGGATCAAACCCAGGTCTCTTACATTGCAGACAGACTTCATACCATCTGAGCCACCAAGAAAGCCCTATGTATAACTATAATTTTTAAAGTCCATAACAGATGTCAAGGGTATATAGGTATATACATGTTTATGTTTTAACACATATGAGGGTCAGTTCTAATGAATGGAATTTCTGGGAGTGTCATGTTATTAAAGGTATGTCACAGAGGTGGGAGTATGTCCATGCAAGGGCAGCCTTAATTGGACATAACTATCAGAGTAATATTTTTGTAGAACATAAGGTTTTCATTTCTATTATTTAATTTTATCTTTTCAGCTACTCTGTGAAATAAGCCAAGATTCACCATTAACATTTAAGAAAACTAAGGTTTCAAGATGTAAAATGTAAGGTCTTGAGATGTAAGTCACAGTCATTATTGGCTGAGCATGGACTAAATTCTGTGTCTCTAAAGTCCTAGCTCTAGGCTTTTCTCCCTGCAGCAGGGGTAAAAGCATGCATCTCATTCCAGTCATATGTCCTAACAGCATTATGGCTCTGAGGATGTTTTCATATTAAAGAGATCTCATATACTTTCATATTGAAGAGATCCCATATATGTATTCTGGAGAATGTAGTTTATCTTCAGGAATCCCTCTTTTTTCCTAGGAATACTTTTTGCTTGAAATATATGGTCCTTGTAGGAACTACGTTTCCTCCTGTTGTAAAAGAATGCCATGATATTTTAGGATACTGTTGGCATGGGAGGGGCTTAATCAGTTATTTATTCATTTACCCATTTATCAGTATGTGTTAGTCACATATTATATGCTAGGTACCATTTTAAATTTGTATATACACTGATGGAGAGATGCAGTACCTGCCCTCAAGGAATCATCTTTACAGCCTATTGGAGGAAGTATAAATAGAATCAGCAGTTAGAATGAAATATGATAAGGGAGAATGGGCAGGATAGGTGAAGGGGATTAAGAGATATAAGCTTCCAGTCATGGGTATGTAATGTACGAAAGAGGGAATATAGTCAGTAATATTGTAATAGCTCTGTATGGTGACAGATGGAAGCTAGAGTTACCACAGTGATCATTTTGTAATGTATGAAAATATTGAATCACTGTCTTCTACACCTCTATGAAAATATTGAATCACTATGTTCTGTACCTGAAACTAATATAATATTGTATGTAAATTATACTTCAATTAATAAAGAAGCCCTTGATCTTTTGTACATCAAAAGATCAAAAAAGAATTAAATATAATAATTATAGTGAAAGTATATAAAAATGGTAATTTATGAGCTCATTGAACAGATTATTTCATTGGTCTGTGTCTACATATATAGTACCAAACATAATTTTTTGTTCTCTAATGTTGAACTGAAGAGGAGTCCTGGAAGAATAAATATATTTGTATTCCTAGGAAAATCAGAGATTGTTTTTCAGAGGGTAGAACTGAAACATGCAAGATTTTATTAGTCAAGGGCATTTCAGACAAAGGAAACATGTTATGAAGACACAGAGGCTTGAAAAATTGTGGCGTATTTGGCGAGTGAAATATGAGGAGGGTGGAGATAAAGGCCAGACCAGTAGTCTAGACCTAAACACAGTGACCTTGTCTGTCATGCCAAGAAGTTAAGATTTTGTCCTGTAGGTAGTGAAGCATTAGTGAAGAACTTACAGTTCTTTCTTCAGTTCCAGAACCCCCTAAAAATGAAGAAAAGTGAAGAGACTATAAATAAATGACTAGTATTTGTATGGAATTTAAAAATTTGTGAGACATTTGTCTGTCATCCATTATCTCATTAAATTTTCACAACCGTCTTGCAGACTATAATTATTATCCTTTAATTACTGATGAGAAAATTATATGAGAGAAGTTTGTTCTTTCATTCTCTCCTTCATTCAGGCACTGTTTTAGACATTAAAGATACAGTAATAAACAAAATGAAGTCCCTTTCCTCATAGAGCTTATTTTCTTCTGAAGTGATATGCCCAGGGTCACAGCTAAAATGAAGTGAGATTAGACTTGAGCACAGTCTGCTTCAAAAATTCCGTGTTCTTTCTACTATACTATTCAGTCCTAAAGAGCATTTATACTACTAGTGAATGAATCATTGAACGCATTGTACTTCAGATATGCCTGTAACTCTCTTAATTAGCCTTCTTTTCCCGTAAAACTAGAATGTATAAAACTCACCCTTTGGGAATCCTGATTATATTCCTTCCTCCTTTAACTTGGCTCTCCTAGAATCTGCTGTTTATAGTCTTATGTTAATGTGTGACTAACAAGGAATTCTGAAGTTATAATATGAAGTTAGTCTTCAAATTTAATTTGGATGTCACAGAAATATTTCTGGTAACTTAGAAATGGCTATAGTAGCTTACTATTTGTTATATCTATAGCAATACCTTGATGATAACACTGTGGAAGCTATGACCTTTCAGAAGCATGCAAAGGAATTGTTGCAACTAGCAGCCAAAACATTAAAGAAGTTGGGAGTACGGTTCTGGCTGAGCAGTGGAACTTGTCTAGGTAAAATTCTTCTTGCTTTTCGTTTGTCTTTTTGACATTTCATCCTCCTTGGCTTTAGTGATGACTGCTTGAGATAGCAAAACATCGGTGGTATTTGAAGTGTCATATTTATAGACAGAATAAACACAGTGCATGGAGCAAGGATTTATTGATTTTTTAAAAAAGAATAACTTCAAAATCATAAAACAGAATTAGGAAGGCCATGTTGTGTTTCCCAAAATAATGTGTATAAAATTTATATCAGAATATGTAGACTACGTGTGATCCTCAGGTAATCTTTAGATTAGCATTTTATTATTTCTACCCATAGGTTGTTATTCTCTTTAAAAAGAAACTGTATTCTGTTTCTTTACATACAAACAATACAGACAACTTGCATTGCACCAAAAGTTTCTAAGAGCAAGTTTTTTCTAAGAGAAACAATGAAAGGAATGTTAAAAGGTCTTTCACAAATCTTTTCCACATCATGATGGTATCACTGATTGGACATCACTGTCTTACCACATTCTGCTTATCCTGAGATGGGAAAGTGTAGAATTCAAGAAAATTTCCAAATCTCTTTCCACTGTTCATTAGATCAAACTTCTTTGGAATATAAATTATTTAGAATCATAAATTTTTTTAAATTCTTTCTTATTTATAATGATAACTGATTATAACTGTTTTTGTTCCCTCTTAGTTATAACTATTTGTACAAAAGTTAATTCTGCTCCTGCTTTTAGAGGGCTACCGTATAATTTATTTAATTTGAGATGTTTTGAGAATGAAAGGAGTGCTGTTAGTAATTATGGTGCAACAGGTATAAGCAGGGATATATGGTTATCCTGTCATTTAAGCTTTGTGGAAAATTTACATGGTTCTTCCTGTCAAGGAGTTTACAGCTAAAGTAAGCTACCTCCGCCCTTCGCCCTGCACAAAAAAAAGTACATCTCGTTTATCTGATACATGCTCTAAGGTTTAACTTTTTGAAGCAAGATTGTTTTGTGGACTGTTACCAAAATTCTTCTTAATCATTTGCCATGATATCTTTTGAGTTCTTAGCTCCATAAGGGCATTTATAAAATGAGAGAAGTTGGATTAGGTGATATTTAAAGTGCCTTCCATTTTTTTCTTTTTTTCATTCTTAATAATTTCTGATATTTTGATAGATGTGGATTATAGATTTTTCTTAAACTGGATGTGAGATCCTGTGCTTGACTTCTAAAGATCTGTGTTAAAACTGAAATTAAAGTTTAGAATTTCAAACAGTATTTCCCAAAGGTAATTGTAGACATTTGTTTACTTTTTGAATACTCTGAATGGAAGGAGTAGAAGGATAATAAGGGAAAACCCAGAGCCCTTAGTAATATTAAGGTATAAAGTTTTTTCCTTTTAGAAAGTACAATAGCACCTAACTTGGAGGTAGATACATAGTAAATATGTAGATATATCTTTGGATGATATGTTGAAAATTGAGGTTGATACTGCTCTTCTTTTTTATATGGCCCATCACACATTCAGAGCTATTAAGTTCTACAAATTACTGCTTAGGAAAGGAATATTGATTAAGCAAAAGAATTAAATTATGTTTTTTAGCATATCTTAAAAGCAACCTTCATCATAGATTTATGAGTAAACATTTAAAGAAGTAACAGTGTTTTAAATGAATGGCTCAGTTAACATTATTAAAGCTAATAGTTTATTCAGAAATTAAAGTACATCATGAAAAGTCTTGAGGTTGCTGAATGCTCAGAACAGGTGAAGGAAGGAGGGATTAAAAGAAATACTCTTCAACAATTGGCTCCTATGATCATAAATATTAAGTTGGGATCTAATTTAAAAATTCTGATAAAGCACACTAAATCTAATCCTGTGAAATAAAATACATTGTTACAAAGACTGTCCATTCTAATAATTACTAATTATTTCCAAACTTAAAGTTTTAAAAAAAGTTTTATTATTCATTTTCTTTTTTTTTCTTTTTTTTAGGATGGTATCGGCAATGCAGCATTATTCCATATAGTAAAGATGTTGACCTAGGAATTTTTATACAGGATTACAAATCTGATATTATTTCAGCATTTCAAGATGCAGGACTCCCACTCAAACACAAATTTGGGAAGGTCAGTAATAAAAATGCTTCACTTCATTAGTAACATGTTTCAAAAGTAAAGTTTATATTAAGCAACTCAGAGATATTTCATATAGCATTTTATCATTCAGTATTGGTCAGAATGAGTTCAGCAGAAAATTATTACGACTTGTGACTTCTGCACTATTTAAGGAAAACTAGAAAAGCTGGCTTTTTATTGACCGTGAGAAAGTGAAAAGGATCTTGGATTCTTGAGGAAGAATTTATTGCCATTACATAGGGAACAATGTAACATAATAATTAATTAATATAATAAGTAAGAATCCCATCTACCCTACCTGAAGTGTCATTTATTTTTTTGTCTATATAGACATCATATTATTATCACCTCGAAACATTCCATTGATTGCTAAGGACTCAAAATACAGAATCATTTCAAACATTACTTGGGTTTCTTATTTATTTCACATGTCCTAGGTGATAGCAATTTTCTCACAGGTCAACTCGAATAGGTCATTGTGGCTTAGATGAAATCTCCTTTTAGATAATTTAATTCCTATAGCCTAGGCCTATGATCCCTGGCAATCACCTTACTCTTAATGTGCTTGTTCCCAGGGAGGTGTTGTCCTGGAAAGCAAGAAGAAGTATGTTCTGTTTGTGGAAAATTACTTCCTTCATCATAATCATTTTAGTTTATTTAAAAATTTAATTAAGTATCTTCCTGAGGTCAAAGTCAAAGCAATAGAACTCTAGTCGTTTAGCAAACAACTTAACATTTCCTTAACAGCCAGTCTCTGCCTGGCACTGTGCTCTGCATGTGTGGCAAAGGTGAATAAGATACAGTGCAAGGAGCCCCCTGTCCACCTGAGAGAAAACGTGCCTGAACATTTCAGTGGCTAGCGCTGGAACAGGCAAGTGTACCAAGTCCAATGGGCACTTGGAGGATAGGTTCGTAGGATAAGTTTCTTAGGGAAATGCTCTCAGAATTCTTTGTACTTTTATTTCGTCTCTTTTCGTATATATAATGTAATGATATATGGGTTTCTATACTACATTTACGTAAGTACTTAGTTATTGATTATAATGATTTACTTCCTGATAGTTTTACTTGGTTATTAAAGGGAATAATTTTTCTTTGATTACTTTTCTTTTTTCATCAGAAAGGAGCTCTGGAACAGGATGTTTTGCAGAGTGATCCTTTAACTACTACAAGTCATGTATTCTGAGTTGTCATCAGTTGTAAAAAGCAACATTATTTTATGTACATTTAAGAAAGAAATCTAATGATTGTGTGCTACTGATGCATCCCAATTTCAGAGATGCTCCAGCTTGAAAAACAGTTATCTTAAAACCTATACTCTCTCCATATAAACCATAAGAATCTTTTTTCTTTTGATTTAAAAAAATGTTATTTCCTTTGTTTCAGTCTGTAAAGGTTTTCATCTTCTCCCTAGGTAGAAGACAGCTTGGAATTGTCTTTCCAAGGAAAAGATGATGTAAAACTTGACATTTTTTTCTTCTATGAAGAGACTGACCATATGTGGAATGGAGGCACACAGGCCAAAACAGGAAAAAAGTTTAAGTATGAATCAGATAAGTTCTTACAAAGGGGGCTTTAGAAATAACTGCAGAAGGTAGAAGTAAGGAAGTAACTGAAAATGGGGTGAGATGGGGAATGACCATCAAGGCTCCACTGTTAGCTGATACTTCTCAGCTTCCCAAAGAGTTTCCCAGTTTTGCTTGAGAAGTGAGGATACCTATAAGGACTGAGGAAGTGCCCCTGGATTTGTCACTGCAAAAAGTCATTATGATTGGAAGCCCTTGTGTCATCAGAAAGGGAAAACCAAAATAAGGAACAGAAAATTAGACCCATATTCTGAGCCAAAAAACCAATTGGCTGCTAGAGCTGTTGGAACTTGATAATTTGATGAGAATGGGTAAGGATCAGTAAGAAGGGGATATTTAAGGTGAAGTGAAGTTTAAGTGAGGAGATTGGGATTGGCCGGAACTGAGATCATGAATGCTGGGCAAGCTCTGGAATGTGCCTTTAGCATAGACTGAGGCCCATTCTTTAAAGGATACTTTAAAGGATACATTTAAAGGATAATATGGTAGTTAACAGCTACCACATTTTGTCAAATGTAAGGTGATATGCACTGTAAGATGTACCATTATTGTATGTGCTAACAAGAAAGGAAAGACACTGCTAATTATAATCTTTTTTAAGACACCTGATTCATATAGAAAATTATAGGGGGAAAGTGTCTCAATTCTGAATTAATTGATGGACTACAATATATTAGACTGGCATTTTGAGCTTTTTTTTTAATGCTGCCGTAGTCAAACTCTTTGATTACAAAAGACAAAAATATAGAGTAACTGTGTATATACCCTTTATGATGCAGTTGGCCTGTTCACAGTTCTGAGAGAGAATGAATGTGAACTTGAACCCAAAGAATGTGGGCTCTGAAGTCAGGCAGACCTGGAAAATGTCAGCTTTACCCTAACTAATTGTAGCCTTTAGCTTTTTTGAATATTAATCTCATACTACTGTGGGTCAGGCACTGATGTGAACATTTTTCGTGTATTAACACATCTAATCCTCGTAACAACCATAGATAGTCTGTGAGGCACTGAGAATTTAAGTCATTTGTTCAAAATCACAGCAAATAAGTCAGGCAGCAGCCTGTCTCTGGAGTTCATACTTTTAATAACTACCCCCTACTGCCTCCCTAATACACCTGACTGTATGAGGCACTTAGTGTAATACTTATCCCTTATTATCAGTAAGTGGTGGTTACCTTTGTTATAATTGTCTAATGTTATTAATATTATGATTGCTAGTGTTACTGCTGTCATTGTTGTCATTATTATGGTTCTTATGTCATTCTTACTGGTTCTTATGACCAGGAGCATAGATTTACCTCACCAACAAGCTGAGATTAGGGCTTCTGTCACTGAGTAAACTTGAGCCATCGGGCACACTGGAGAATGATCTGTGGCACAGAAGAATAATTCCAAACTCAGGCTGGTTTCTCCTGGATATATAGACATTACATACTTTATTTGAAGGCAAGGAGTCTCCATGTAGTATTAACCTTGTTCTGGAGATTTGAGAATAATCCAAACCTTTTTTCTCAAAGTCATAAAGTATCCCCAAATTGACATGATCCTGGAGTGTGTTCCTGAAGCTCATATATTATAAAAAATTATTTTGCTTTATGACAACAAATACCTTCATGCTAAGTAAGCTCTGATTATAAGACAAAAATACTTAGTAAGTTAATAAATATATAGTTGATACTCTCACTATGGCTAAGTGAATAGGGAGGTGTTTTTTTTATGTTTAGCTAGTTTGTTTATTAAAATATAATAAAAATGCCAAACTTAATGTATAATTTCCAGACTTTTAAAAAAAACAACTGTGAGATAGTATAGCATAGAAATTAAAAGCATGGAGCCAGTCTGTTTGCTTTTGGATCCCAGCTCTCCATTTTATAAGCTAGTTATTTAACTCACTGTTCCTAAATTTCCTCAAATGTAAAATGAGAATAATAATAGAAATTGCTATATAGAATGGTTTTAATAACTTAGTTAATCCACAAAAAGGGTTTTGAAGAGAATTAAACATATCTTGAGTGCTAAGAAGTTATCAGTTGCTATTATTAATACTCTCAGTAGCAGTAAAGAAAACTATTCTTCTTAGTTTTATAAGAAATTTATAGATCAGAAACCTGTATAATTATCTCAATATTAAACTGCCACATCTGTTCTAAGAAACCTCATGAGAATGTCACCTTTTGTTTCTGGAGCTTGTATTATAATCCTGTTATTCTTAATTTTTTTTCTAAAGCTTGGATTTCTTTCTTCCCACTGGCATGATCCCATGTCAAACCTCAAAAGAACTGTGCATTTCTAACCACTACATCTCTGGCTAGAAAAAGCTTCTTTCATTCTGCTTTAACTGCTCTTTATGGTAGCAGTGTTTGGGAAGTGTGAAGTGTTCTGATTATTTAATGAGAGAAATGAACAGTGATAGAACTGCCTGGACAGATGGTTTGAGTCCCAGATTTTCTATCATGTTACTGTGACCTTAAAAGGCAGAGAAAAGAACAGGGGATGGTTGTGAAGAGTAGTTTCTTTGGAAGATTCCCCCAGCCATATGCCATTTTCATTCTTTTCAGCACTATTTACTGTAAGAAACTGTAGAATTATCACTACTACTATTCCTAGAGGGAAAAATCTTTAAAGCTAGTCTAAGGGTCTTTTTATCTTTATAATATCCTACTTTTTATTCATGTGTAGTTTATTCTGAGAAAAAACTTAATGATAATATAGAATACTTACTGTTTTTTAATGGCTCAGATGGTTAAGAATCTGCCTGCAATACAGAAGACCTGGGTTGGGAAGATCCCCTGAAGAAGAGAATGGCTACCCACTCCAATATTCTTGCCTAGAGAATTCCATGGACAGAGGAGCCTGGCAGGCTACAGTCCATGGGGTTGCAAAGTCAGACGTGACTGAGCAACTAACATTTTCACTTTCACCGTTTTTTAGAAAGCCGAAGAGGAACTTAGGAAGGAAGCAAAAGGTTCCCCCTTTTAAAACTTTGCTCTGCATGCTCTGCATGCCTTCAGAATGATGTTTTGGTCATAAGATTGAATTATCATTACAATATTGATAGCAAATGATAAAGCTATAGCTACCAGGGTATCTACCTATATATCAGGCACTATGATAGGTGTTTTATGATCTACTCTCAGATCATCCTCACATGTTTCCTGTGGGTTAGATATTCTCACTCCCAGTTAGATATGAGGAATCTAAAGCTCAGAAAAGTGAAGTAACTTGCTCAAGGTTCTCTGGCCATTAGTGATAGGGCCAAGATTTAACTTAAAACCTGTTGGATTTTTAAGCCCAAATGCTTCCATCTAAGAGTTAATAGGTTAAATGAGTTAATACTTGTAGTAATGCGTGTAGAACAGTACCTGGCACATAGTACTGTGTAAGTATTAGCCACAGCTGCAACTGCCATTACCGTATTATTATTCTTTTACTATTACTTCTCGTGTTAACCTGGTAAAAGTATAGGACATTCAACACAGTGTTAACTTGTATTAGTTACTCTGGGTAAGCATTTTTTTCCCAGGTCTCATATTTCTTCCATCTTTAGTTCTTAGTCTAAGCCTGTACTTTCACCTAAAATCCAAATTCTCTTCTTCTTGTCTAGATTTTTAATATTTACCTTTCTTTTCCAAGTTTCAATCACCAGTGATAAAAGGTCATGAATAAATATATTAACCTTGCCTCCAGATGTGAAATTTTCATTCCACAACTTTACAGTTCTTATAGATGCTGCCCAGATTCCTCTGGATTATTTCTTTCCTTCACATCTGAATCAACTAATATAAGTGGAGGCCAGAAGTTTAAAAGGCAATAATGTAATAACAAAAATTAACTTCTATTGAATAGTTACTATGTTCTAGAAACTATGCCAAGTTTTTATATACATCTTCTCATTTAACCCTCACCACAAATTTATAAAGGAGGTTTACTGTCACCCTCATTTTATGGGTGAGGAAATTAAGGCAGAGCTAAGACTCAGACTTGGGCCATATCACTTCAGAGCCTGTATTCCAACCCGTGTACAATACACTGTCACCACAATCTCAGTCATATTGTTAATACTCCCTCAGTGAAAAGAGCCCTTCTGTTTATTGACATTGTCAGAATATTACAGCCACCTCTGTATCCGCTGATAGAAAATTTACTACCCCGGGGCTAGTTGTGGGTTCCTTAGGCCTTCTGTTATATTCAGCTTCTGCTTATTGTATAGATCTTCAAAAAAAATTGGATTTGTCCTCTGTGGGACTAGACTTATCCAAGTGTGACTCCTATATAATTTAACCTTTCATTTCTGAAGAATTTATTTGCTAACTGCTATGTGCCAAGGATTCTGATGTGAATATAGCTTAGTTTCTGCTCTCAAGAATCTCATAATCTAGACCGTGAAACAGATATTAAAGTACTCTGTCGGCAGAACATGATTTAAATAGGTGTCATGTATAGTTGAGATACAGATCAACTCTATCTAGAATTAATGACAAGGAAGTGTGGCATAAAATACAGAGAAGTTTGTTAGATAGACTTGGGAGGAATATGAAGAAGGGTCTAATAATAGGTTTATTTAACTATTTTTATATTTAGATTGTTTACATTTTTTATTACTAAAAAATTCCGTGAGCATCTTTGTACATTAAGTGTAAGTTTTACTAGGGATTGTTTCTTTGAATAGATTCCCAGAAGTAGAATTACTATTATTGTTTGATCATGCTGTTTGAGAAATAGAGGGGTAATTGGGTAATCTTCTGATAACAGTAAAAGTACAAGATTTTACCCTCAGTGTTTTGTTTTATCCTTTGACTCTTTTAAGGCACTTTGCAGATCTACAGGCCTCCTCAGTCGTCTTTGTCAGCATGCTTTATTCTCCCTGCCTTTTTTTCCCCTATTTTTTTTTAAATAGACAGCTAATTTTGTGATAATTTTAGATTCACAGAAAAGAAAATAATATAATGAGCTTCT